AGCCGCCGCCGCCACGGAATCGTAGATAATTTTAAGAATTTTTTAGGAGCCGCCGCTGTGAAAAAGTAAGTTCAGCCGGTGCGCCGCCGTCACGAACGAAAACTTTTGATAATAGTATAAGGCGTCGCCGCCGTTGACATCGATACATATGCAAAGACGTTTTTTCTCTTTTTTTGGTTGTCAAAGCCGCCGCCGGTGCAGAAAAACATAAAGTCTAGCAGCAGCCGCCGCTTTGGAAGAAAAAATAAAAAATTGACGCCGCCGCTGCCGGTGTACAAAAACATAAAGTCTAGGAGGCGCCGCCGCCATGCAAAAAAAAATTGACCGTTAAAGGCGCCGCCGCTGTTTGGCCCTTCGGCTTACACCTCTATTTGTGGCAAAACAAAATTTAGTATTTTCTCATTAGCATAAGTTCTATAGGTTTTAAAGAATGATATTTTTACTTTTTCTTCCTAAAAATAGCAAAGTATAGATTTTTTGAATACGATAAAATTTATTCAAAGAAAAGCAGTTATTACTTCACAAAAGCATGACAATGAAAAGAGTTTTACATTTGATTGAAGTTTAATTTCTTGTTAGCTTTTTTCATTTAATGTTTTTGTCTATGTTTTTCATTTAGTTGTTGTCATACAAGGTCATTATTTCTTAGAAAAGTAAACTCATATTTTTGATAAAATAGATCGTCTTTATTATTTTATTCATTATCGATATGAAATAATTACGAATATGTTTCGAAAAACACAGTTGAGGTTATCATATGCATTTTATCTGATCAAACGATGATATCATTAGCGGCTGTAGGAAATGAAGACACAATTTTTTTTAAGGAGAAGATCAATAAAGTCTCGGTTTGAGTCATCATATGCATATAGAATTGAAAAGAAATCTATTCACTGAGGGAAATCTTGCGTGATAAATTTAAAGGCCCCATTACAACTTTTTGTTTCGTAATGAGAAGAACAGAAAGAAAAAAAGGAAGAAAGAGTATGACAGTAGTTGGATTGATACAACTTAAAAATAATAAAACCACGTTGACACAATCCACTGAAGAGTCAATACGCATTGGTTTGAATATTTTTAGTTATTGGACAATTATTTACCAGCATATGAATGTCTTGGCCGTATAGCGCTTACGTTGCTGCGAACATCGGTATATCTACTGCTCTAATAGTACTAACGATCGTTATTGTTCTTCTGCTACCGTACCACTCAAAAATTTTCTTGATTGAGCGTGTTTTCGGCATCTATTTCAAAAGAAACGATATCAAATCGTCGACTATCGTTATTTATGATGTTGCTTTGGATCAAGCAATCTCACAGTATTCAAAAATTGAATGGATATTTGTAATCATCACAGGTACTATTCTCTCGCTAATGCCAGTGTTATTATTCAATGGACTTTTTCTTTCTATCGAAAGTTTGTCACCTGGAGAGCAGTGTCCTATGTATCAAATGGACTGTTTTGTCTTTCCAACGACAACAATAATATCCTCGCCGATAGCAAGTTTTGTCTGTGAACCGGGTCATATTGAAAATCTTTCGAATGCCACTGGCAAATTCGCCTGGTGTTATGGTTGGGTCATTATGCATCAATCATCTGTCAATGTTCTCAACCAATTGGGTCTTTGTGCTGGTCTGATTGGCCTATTTGCAACGATCTTCGCATTTACTTTTCATATCGGACATATGAAAGTAGGATTGGCTATCATTCTTGTAGTTATCGTTTGTCTTGTGATCGTACTTCTTGTGTTGGCTATTTTAAAACTCTCTCTTGCGTTTTTAACTTTCGCTACGCTCTCCCTATGTGGTTTAATGTGTGCCTTTGGGCTAATCTTGAAGCGAGTGATGACGCATCAACGAATAAATCATGAAAATTAAACAAACATATACAGTTATGAGCATTTACATATGCCGAGACATTCGTCTCATAGAAAAAAGGATTAACTCACTGCTTCCCAGAAACGAAACTCTGTAAACAAGACGACTTTCAACGATGTATTATGAGAGCTTGATCGCTCGAATAAGAATATTGCACAGAAGATGAAATAAAAATTTCTGTTCAGTCAATTGATTTGCGATCAAGAGATGGATCGACAATGAATTTCGATCAATCTCTAAAAACAACTATAAAAGATCGACGATGAAATGACAGGGCCATTCGAAAAGCGAACCTCTTGTAATATTTTTTATTACATCATTTTTTTCGCAAGAAAGATTCTAAAAACTAGTATTAGAACTTCATTCGGAAATAGACGGAGTCAATACAATCGTTAGTCAGATTCTAACATAAAAAAAAAACAAGCCTTACTGAATATTTCAATTAGTGGTGTACCTATCAGTAGGAAGTATGACACCGCCCCAGGACAATAGAATTTGCTCCAGGACGGATAAGGATTTTGAAAAAATGCAATTATATTGGAAAAAAGCATGTGAAATTGCTACATTTCCTTTAAGAACAGAGAAATTACACGAATATGCAATATGAAAAAATATCGAGGCTATGAATCAACAACTAGATTAACTTATGTAGCGATATTTAATCGATTAAGTTGATATTTATGTAACCAGCTGTCACATATTACTGGCGGACACTGTTTTACCACGGCCTAGGTGTTGAACGCATCCCACCATAACCATTAGCTTGCACACGTCTGATACATTTATGAGTGAGCTCTGTACCAATCGTTCGATTAGACTTCTGATTTTCAGTCAAGGTTTGGTACACAGAAAGTACGCATTCCTTTTTTGGACATACAATTCGAGACAAAAATATCGGTAAGAGTAGGAATGCAATGTGGATGATGCATAGAAGCACAAAATCAATCACACTCACACCCTGCACAGGTGACAGAAAAAGAGGACCAGGAACAATTTTTTTAATGATTGCAGCTATTAACTTAATATTTTGTGTACTTATAGCTGACACTTCATACTGACTATCTGCACTTATTCAGTCTTACTCAGAAGAACTCGAGTTTTGCATATAAAACGGACAAATTAAAGTATACTTGATGATCTAAAATTTCTAGAAAGCAATACAATATGTAATGACGATGTATTCCAGTTGCATTTTGTTCGATAATACCGATCATTTATGATCTAATTGGTCGACGTTAATCACACATAACACTCAAACTCAATTAACAACTTTAGCTAGGTACATGCTTATGCATAAGACACAGTTCCTGTTTTTTTTCCTTTTTTTTTTTTTTGCATCAGATAATATTTTGAAAATGTACAGATAACGATAGAAAAAAGTGTTCAAATCCGAATCAATAAATATGACAGTAAAATCACCAAATTCAAATGTTTAGGTTTAATGTAAGTCTAGTCATGACATGTAAATGAGCTTATTGATACTATGAAATTTGTCACAAAAAAACAAGATAAGAGAAATATTTCTGTTCAGTTTATAGTATTTCGTGAATTTCAGTAATGTCTCTCTAGTATGTGATAGAAAATTTCTATAAATATGATGCATATTTTGAAATCGTTCTGTAATATGTCCTAAAACGTATTAAAATGATTTCTAAATATTTCATGTTTTTCGAAGTTCTGTTTAAAACCTAAATTTCTCTATATTCATAGTGTATGTTGCAATCTTTGTTAGTTCTTACTACGAAAATGATTCAATTCCCATAACATCATATGTCTAGGCGAAATTTAAAAAGATGGTGCAACTCGGCATATTTTTACACAAAGCAAGGTTATAAAAATATAATCTCGGATCAAACGTCTTTTTCCCTTTTATCGTTTTATGTTGCCATACTTATCATAAAATCTATTACTGAATAAAGATATGACAGAAGAGTTTTATTATAGTGTGACATGTACACCAAAATGAAATAAAACTTTCATGCCATATCTTTACGCAGTAATAAATCTAATGCAAAGTTTGACAGCATAAAAAGACATAAAGAAGAAAGGATGTATCTATGTGTGGACATGGGTGAAGACAAGGCTCATATCTACACTCTAGCCTCTTTTACTCGTAAGGTTTCTGAAGAATAGATTTATTACTGAATTTTTCAACGTAGCTTCATAGTTCCCCCGCGGTCACATTGAGAATTGACTTTTGAATTTTAACTTGAAGTTTTGGTGTGTGAAAAAGCAAAACTTTCTTCTTATACGCATTTCTCACGACAGAAACAAGGGAAATGGCAAAAACTTTCACAATGGACTAGACACATTGAAGACGTTACTTTACTGCAAAGTTTCAAGTCGAAACTTGAACGTCAACTTTCAACGTCACTTGAGGACGGCTGCAAGGCTTTGTTGAAAAATTCAGTAAAAACTCAAAACCATGAGAACAATTATATTACTTACCTGTCCTTATTTATTAATACATTGCGAGTAGATTTGTAGTCTTATCTGAGCAAAACCGTAGAGTTTTCGTTTTCTGAACCATATATTTTAGAATCTTTGGATTTTTTAACCTCGGCCTTGTGGATTGCGGATCGATTTGAAGGCTGAAAATTCAAAACATCTATTTCTCTCTCGTAATGCTCCATATTAGCTTTAATTACGGGCCGTTGCAGATGTTTCGAGATGATTCTCTTGTGACCTTGTAATCCATCAAGTTGAATATAACAAGGATGCTCATATGTTTATGAAACAGGTGTATTGTGTTTTACGTTTTCATCCCATAGGGATTGCGCTGATAGCTTTTTCATAGCTGATTAGCCTTTCTAGAAAGACATATCATTTAATTTTTACTCTCGATCATCACCAAACTGAACATTTTTTAAACTTACGTCTTGAGTGTCGATGTGACTATGAGTGTGTTAGTAAGAATCTTCTGTTCAACGATCCACGCCTGCACCTACAATCTTCTCAGGAGGCTTTTCCATCGGCAGGATTTTGTAGAGCTCGTTGCACTGATCATTTTGGTTACAAAAATTATTCAAATTTACTCAACAAATCATGATGGTAGAGCCAAAATACTCAAAAAAACTTCGACTATTCCTGACTGCTGCTGAGTATGAGTTGACGTTTTTGTGTATTTAGATCATAGTACCAAGGTGTATTGTGTAAATTTGAATACATTGTTTTAATCGAAATGATCAGCACAATGAGCTCTCCAAAGTTCTGAGAAAGAAAGACTTCTCCGAGAACTTTGTACTTTTCTACGGTGAACTACTTATGAAAGTATCCACCAAAAGTAAGAATCATAAGCACGTTGCCGTTGGTAGCATACTTGATTATTAATTGATGCATTTTTATTGAAACTGAAAAAGAATTATGTTTATAGCACAGAATAAAATACAAGTTCAATTCAAAAGAGTTTTCGAAACACTTCCAATGCTACACTTTGACCGAGAATCTTTCCTCTTTCAACATCGCTACGCCAGTGTACACCTAAATAAATTCGACTAATCGCATTTTCCATTTCAGCTGCTGCCAATGACCTATAACTTCGAGTTAGTGCTGGTCGTACTAATCCAGTATTCGAATCTTTCGTTTTTCCATTGTATTCATCTGATTGAAATTGAAAAGAAATATCGTCTCTATTGTAAAATAGACGAAGCGTGTGAAAAGTAGCTGATCCGAATGTTGCATGGCCAGATACATAGGCTGGAAAGGGAGGTGTGAAATCTGTACCGGCACCATCAGCTGGTGCTCCTAATGGTATCCAAGTAGGATCAATATCGTTTGCATTCTGTGCTTCACGAATGCCAACGATTGGACGCCAAAAGGCATAGTGATACTTAGCTTCCCATGCAGCTATTCCAGCGTCACCCATCGCATAGTTGACAAGTGCAAATAATCGAGCATTCTGTTCAAGTGTATTGCCTTGTTGAATAGCTATGATTCGAACAATTTGATTATAGAGGCGTGGTGGGGTACCCAGTTTTGGTGCTCCATCATAAGCCCATACAATACCGATCTGCGTTTGATCATCCGAACGATATGTACTTGCTTTTGATCCATAGGTTTTCACTTCAGTCAACTCACTTCTGTAGAAATCTGAATTCAAATAGTACATACGAGTTGACGATGTATTACCGAACATGTTCAGAGGACGATATTGTGATACAGAGTCCAGAAAAAATGGTTTTACTTTTCCCCAGTGAACACCTAGAAAGCCTTGTTCCGGATGGATTGGATCAACTTTATGGTAGCCGGGCTGCATGCTGGGTGTATATGCAGCATTGCCAAAACTACCATCCGATTTCCGAGTTTCGATCATAAAAGAGCTGGTTAACTGACCAACACTGAGACCAATGTTAATTGCATCTTGTGAATCTGCTTTGTTTCTTGTTTGATACAAATGAATTCGATAGATAGCATCAAAAAGAGGGCGCTGTTGTGGATAGAAGAATGACAATGTTTGATAGGCAGCTTCTATTATAGATGCAATCATACCATATTGTTTGACAAAAGAATCATTGGTTGACGATCGACTTCCTTCTGTAACATGTTGATAAACTCGACCGAAATTTTTCATGGTATCATACATGGCACCATGAATGATAGCAAAGGCACGTGCTGTTGCTGCTGGACCATTTTGGTCAGGTTTAAACGCCACGGCTTTATCATAATCATTTGCACAAGCTTGCAACATGACTTGGTTCCAGAAGAGAATGGCATCTAATGATGTTGATTGTAGTTCATCCTGAAGCGTATCAATATGATTTTGCAAGATAATATTACGCTTGGTAAGAGCATAACTTGTAGCAATTATTGTAGTTACGAATGCAAAGAGTGATAGCTTAATATTGGAACCCATTTTCAATTGTGTGATACAATCCATTTGATGGCTACTATATATACATCGACGGATCCGTCAACAAAAATAGTGGTGCGGCCCCATAATAAAGCTATCTCGAAAAATATCGATTATTCAGACAGATTGTGGTATTGTATTAAATGACAGAAGGAAGTGTAATATGTACATATAGTTTCGCTTACACCGCCTACAAAAGATATTGGTGTTATTTTACTTTCTCAGTTATCATGATGGATCAAGTTTCTCTATGTAACAAATGATATCATACTTCTATTCTACTACTTCATTTGAATAGTATTAGCTCAATAGCAATTCTTGTAATTACCATCATGCGTGATATAGAATGAAAGACATGTTCTGCTATGAAAACGATGTAGAGCCATCAGAGACGGGCAATTCCTAGTGGCTTTTTTCAACTTCGATTGCACTTAGTGGGAGTTACATTCCTTTTCTCGAAGTTTAACAGCATGTTTGATCCATTTTACTTCTTCCAAATCTCGAACTTTGGATCATCCAAGTGGAATTTAGGATTAAATCTCGAGGATAAAATCGAAGTTGTCTCATAGCTAAAAGTTATAGGTCCACAACAAAATTTATTTTATCTCGTTTTACTTTTATGCTTACATCTTTCATAAAACCTTTTAGAATGCCTTAGTGTCTTTAGTTCTTTTAGTGCCTTTAATGTGCGGATATTGGTACGATGCAGGTAAGAGTGGGAGGCGGGTGGGTGACGGTATTTGGGTCTCAGTCTTTGTCTGGACCTTCCTGTACTTTAAGATTCTTCCATATCTGCCTCCACATACCATACCTACACCGACATCCTAAAGATACTAAAATGGGTAAAGGGAATAAAGTATCAAGATCATTGCAGTTTAGGTGATATAAAATGTAAAACGGAATAAAATTAATTTTTCGTAGACTTCTCTATTCATGTGTAAGTTTAAACGCTTGACTATTTCAAAAGAGCTACGTCTCATACCTATGTCATGATCGATAAATAGCCTAGACTTAAATATTATTATTTGAGAATATTTGGTCTATTGTTGATTATAAACTACTAAAGTTTGATATTAATAACATCGATTGATTGAAAAATGCCATGCAAATCACATAAGCAGAAATTCTAAACGATACAGTACGACAATTATTCGAACCGATGTCAGAACAACTTCAACAAGTAATCAATCGTAGAGGATTTGTGTGTCGTTCATGGATCTTTATTGTTCTTATATAGAAATATTTAGAATGTAAAAACAAGAAAAGAATGAAAAAAAAACCTGAAAGAAGATCTATAATTTTGCCACAGCATTTTTCTCTTTCTATCGATCTCTGCACGTGTACAGAGCAAGAAAAAATATAACGGCTACAGATCAGTATAGTACATAGGCTCATCTTACTAACACTGATATAGTTTAAACGATAAAATTTCTTTCCGAAATAAAATCGTTATTTATTTATAAACTACATAGGGAGTCTATGATTTTGTTACAACCTATAGGTACAATAAAAACATAAATATTCGAAAAATTCTATCCACTACTGTATATTTGAAATTAAGAAAATTCAATTCCACCATCAATCATAATACTCTGTCCAGTCATGTAGTCAGAATCTTTGCTTGCAAGATACGATACAAAGTTTGCTACATCTTCCGGCACACTAGTACGACCAAGTGCTATGAGCCTGTTTGAATAATCTTTGATCACTTCTCCTTTTTGCTTGCCTTCGCTTTTTGCCAATTCTTCATCAATCATATCCCACATTGCAGTTTGGACAATCCCTGTTTTAATTGCAAAAACATACTTAATTATTTTAAAGAAAATAGTATGAAACATACCTGGACAATACGCATTGACCGTGATTTTGTGTTTCGCCCATTCCATGGCGGCGGCTTGTGTAAGACCACGTACACCCCATTTACTGGCAGAATAAGGACTCATCATCGAAAATGGCTTGTATCCAACGATACTGCAAGCTCCAATAATTTTGCCTCCACTACCTTGGGCAATCATAGCTTTGGCAGCTTCTTTGTAGCACAAAAATACACCACGCATGTTGATTGCAAATATATTGTCCCACTCTTCTGCAGTGACATCAATAAGCTGTTTCACCTGAGCGATTCCCGCATTGGCTACCATTACCTATATTATTATTTCAAAGTAGGTGAAAGAAATAAAGTGAAAAAAGATGCCTACATCCAAACTACCCAATTCTTTTACGACATTCTGCATCATTGCTTTAACTTCTTTATCAATAGAAACATTAGCAATGACAGCGGCAGACTTTCGACCAATTGTTTCAATTTCTTGTCGAACTCTGTTGAGCTCCAATGGTCTCATTGCGGTATCATTGACAGCTACATTGAAACCATCTCTGGCAAGGCGAAGAGCAATTGCACGTCCAATTCCTCGTGCAGCACCAGTGACTAAAGCATTGCGAGACATCTAGAACATTGCCACGAAGAATGAAAGAAGAGGACGAGAAAAGAATTGCATCACGCCCTTGGAAGGTAATGGTATGAAACTCTATATAGATTAGCGCGTACTATGATAACTAAAGCAGTATATCTTAAAAAGAGATACCGATAGCATTCCCTTAGGAAAGGTGCGCTCTTTGCAAATTATTTTCAAGCTACTTATCTACGTTTATACTCATGTACAGTGTTTTTAAGCGCTTCTGTGCCGTATAGAGATTGCCGGAAATGAAATAAATTCTACTTCATCCTGGAACGGGATGGGATGCAAGTAGTATTCTCGATACTTTAATTAGAAGAAGTGGAATTTATCCAATTGATTAAAATACCAAGCTGTACTCGAACTAAATCTCATATTTTTATTTCCAATCTTCAGACATATATTGAGTGCTTTATAAATGAGTAAACATTTTCGTATTATAGACGGTATTTAGTGTTTGTAGTGTTGAAAGTGTAAGCAAATGTGCAGCGTTCTACAGTGAACCGCTCAATTTGACTTCATTATCCGAAATGACAAAGGATTAATGTAATTAACGAGTGGGATATTTTTAAAAAATTATAATAAATTCTTTTACATTAAAATATTTTCTTTTCAGAATTGTGACAACTAAGAGATGTGTTGATTTTACACAACACCCATTATCGTTTCAAGCTAGTTGTAATCAGTCGTCATTGTCATTAAACGATATTACTAAACCAGAGTTTCAGACATAAAAAGTGGAAATTCATAAAACAAGATTTGCAGCATAATTAGAATACCTGATCAGATAAAGGCATAGTGATTGTCGCAGAGAAAAACATGAAGAGTACTAATGACATGTTGCACATTTTTCATTGCATCTTCACTGGAGCGCTTCTTACTCAGAGTAGAAGATAGCGACAGGCCAATGGTTACTTGTGACTGATGTTCCTGTTGAGTCATGAATACCTGATGGAGAGAAAATGTATTTATTGTTGTAAGGAATTCTATGCATCATATTCCAACCCAAAACTTCATTCTTTCACACTTGGTCATTTTCTACGGTATTGTTGCAAAATCAGAAGTACCATTTGGAAAAAAGTTCGTCAAAAAGCTATGAAAAGAAAAAAATAGTTGAAAATATAAAAATTCCGTACCGAGACTCAGTAGACTATTGAACAAAATCATTGGGGACGTGTTGATGTGCATGAGAATTGAATAAAAGTATCAGGGCGAGTGTATGTGTTTAGAAGAATGATATGAGCGTTTGTGAGTAAATGTGGGTCAATCAAGTACTAGCATCTTCACTCACAAATTCTACCACCCGCTGGAGTTCATCCGATCTATAGTTTCAGTAAGAATCGATAAAAAAATGTCCATACTATCCTGGTCTGTTTAGATTTACATTCTTTCTATACATACTTTTCTACACGTTGGTATCCGCACTTCTCTGCTAGACGTACATTTCTATGGTTCTTTTTCTCTATGTCCTTGTTTGCGTGTCCTTTTCTGTACGTTATACTCATTACGTCCTTTTTTATACATCGTTTTCTATCCTTTTTTTATACATTATTTTCTCTACGTCTTTATTCAGATATCCTTTTCTGTACATCTTTTTCTGTGCGTCCTTTTTTATACATTCCTTTCTGTATGTCCCTTTTATATGTCCTAGAAATATTATGCGAGTATCATTTTCATTTCTAGCACATGTGCTCAATGTAGCTTGTAAAAAGGTACCTGGATATATCATCTGTAACATCTTAGATGCTACAGCTACCACCCACAATGCTATGGTAGCACCTGAGAGATTACGAATAGTAGCTGGAATGCTATAACAATGCTGCAGAGTGCTATTTCAAATCCTGCAGGCAGCGCCCGAGATGTTCCAGACACCGCCTTCAATGCTACATTTATCATGCCCAGGTAGAACTTGAAATGCAACATGAAGCACATGTATTAAAATTAAAAATAATGCTAACTTAATCCTAACATTTCGACATTAGTTACGTCTAATGTCAATAATGCTGAAGCATTAGTCTTAATAGTTAATGTTAATGCTAATTTTAATACGACATCCCATAATATGTCCATTTAGGTACTATTAAAGCGTAAAATAAAGATAGACTTAATTGTGTAAACAGAGACGAAAGTAAATTATAGACTCATTGATCTATTTACTTTTCAATAGAACGATATTCGAAAGATATTCAGTTCTCGATAATTTTCCTTCTTATATCAGTAATTTATATTTTGTATTAATAATATTGAAGACAAATGAAATGTTTTTTTTAAATTGTTTTCGAATGATTCGTTGTAAATCCTTGATGGCTTGATTAAAATCATTTATATATGACTTTGAAGTTAATACAAAGACAATAAAGAAATGCATTAGTGGAGTACATGAAATAAAATAACCAGCTATTGTAAAATAGAATTAGATTGATAGTTAACAATACACCAAGTTCGATGTTCTTGTTCATCATGAATTAAATGGCGATGAATTGACTCATGAATTCCTGTTAATATTATTATTATTATAACAAATGAAATCACCCATTTTCATATCCGAAGCCAACATAAACAATTTAAAGTTCTAAGTTCTAACGAGGGGCTATCAGAATTTATTTAAACCATAGGGCTTATCTTTTGATAGCATATAATATACTTTAACTGTAGCAAAAGTGAGCTAGAGTTCTGAAGAATTAGCTCTGACACTGAAGTGACCTTCCGCCCTACTTGTCATTCTTCCTCTCATTCTTAGTCACGTACATGATTTGTGAGATTATTACTATTTCTGACGGCAAACGGACAATATTTGAAAAGAAAGGGAGTGAGTGTACTCAAATTTTTTAGTTTCAACTGAATCATTCAGTGAATATTGTTTTTCATAAAAATTTCATAGAATACTGACTAGAATTCGTTCGTTGAAAACGAGAGATCGCCATGACTGTGATCTGTACCAAAATTCACTCATAGTCAGTTACGACAAACTTTTCTTTTTTCTACTTCTCTTTTCATCTCAATTTACAAGCACCCACCTTTAGCTGCTTTTCTTCTGTTGCTTTATATAATTCTTATTAAAGAGCCAGCATATAGTCTGCTAAAATCGTAGTGTAACTGAATGAGATATACTATCAACTGATAATTCGAGTAGAGTACGACCAATAACAAGAACACATTGGAAAAAATTTATAAAACCTAATCTGCTAACAGTATCAAGTGATTCACTATTAGAAGTCATGAAATCGGTTCATGTTATGTTTTAGTTTCATCTTTCATTTTGCGAAGAAAACGATTCGATTTGTTTTTCATTGATTAATTATCTCGTTATTCTGTTTATGAAGTAAAGCGGAATTTTAATGACATAAGTTAATGTACTTTTGCGCACCACAAGTATCGATAGCCGTTTTGTTATAGATCAAATCAATACAATCAATTCAGTTTTCTTGACTCACAGTCACAAATGTGACTGTAATCAGAAAATAGTGGTCATGCTGATGTCTAATGAGAACGGAATACAGTTTAATCGTTTATTGTTAGATTCAGACAACTACTTATGAATACTGAACATTGTTTTCATTTCTAGATAAATTTCAAATGATTTGAAAAGATTTGTAATCAATAAAACTAATAAATAATATAATTTATCTTTTTACTTTTTATTTTGTTAAAAGTATGTCTCATAACTATATTAAAAACTCGTTCAATAGCAAAACAAGTATAGAGCCAATCAGTCATATTAAATAATATTCGAAGTAAAAATTCTATTAATATATAATTATTTTGTAAAATCCAAAATTGAACAAAAATTTCACTTTGAATTAATAAAAGTAAAAGAAATTTCAATATAAATATAAATATAATTAATAAACAAATTATTGATGATGTAAAAAGAAAAACAAATTCTACAACCGACTTGACATAGATTTTTTCTTCGAAAAATTATTATTGATAAAATAGCACCAATAACATCTAGAGAAAAAATATTCATCACTAAAATCATACTTGTTTGAACAGGTTTTGATTGATGAGAAAATTTAATATTAGCTTTTATATAATAATCTAATATAATATCTAATGAAAAACCATAAACTTTTGTTAAAAATCGGCATTGACTACTATAAAAACAATCTGGACATAAATAAATACTTGTTGTTGAACAGTGATAATTATCTTGAAAACATTGACCATTATTTAAACAATAATTATTTCCTTGACAATCATTTTTTATATTAAAATCAAAATTAAAACAACTTGAATGATTATTATTTGTATATAAAGACATAAATCTACCAAGATAATAAAAACATGGCAAATGATTATATATTTGGCATAGCAAATGATAATACTTTATATGTCTGGATAGAAAATAATTAATTATTGTTAAATTAAACAATTCATTTATAGATAAACATCTTTGAGAAGATACAATTTCGGGTATGCATGTAGAGATAATCCAAATCATAACATCCACACCTACATGTATATTCTGATCTAATCAATTTTTTTTTCAAAAAACGTGCATGGACTACAAGGAAAAGTTAGACCGAACTTTCGAATTTACACGTCGAACTCACTTTTCCTGATCTATATATTCAGTGGAATAATTTTCCAACTAAAATCACCGTTTTCCACGATATAAATGAAGCGCAAGTGTCGATTCTTTTCTAAGGTATATCAACGCAGCCTGAAATCATGATATTTTGACAGTGCGAATTCTATGGGCTAATCAAAACTAATTTATGTCTGAATTTTGGCATCTATTAATATTGCTCAAAGCTGCAGCTTGCAACACATGACCGTTAACAAAGATGTGATTGAGCATTGAAGTTTTGAAAATTAAAATTACAAGTTAAATTTTCATAACACAGTTGTGACTAAAAATTAGAATTAAATATTTTGTAAACGGACAATGTCTCAGTTTCTTCATTTTTATATATTTGCTCACAATCTTCGTTCATGTGAAAAGCGAAGTATAATAAGTTTGAAATATAGATTACACACATTTGAATCATGATAAACCAAATTTTATATCTGAGAACACCCCGTTAACAAACTATTGCATACCTTGGTAGATGCAGTATATGGTAGTTTAGGATACACTTAATAGTTCTTATCGTAATCCTGTGGGATTAAAATGTCGAGTGCAATCGCATTGTTTACACCATTAATGAAAGAAATTATTAGCATAGATTTCGATTTGTGAGTCGCTATTCATTTTTAATATATGTGGACGAGGAAAGATGGTTAATTGTAATGTTACAGTGAGGGAACAAGAAGGACCAATGACAGATATGTTCAATTCAATCATGTTTCATATCAGAGACCCGTGTGGTAACTAAAATATCACATCGTCACCATCTCGCCTAGTAAAAAAAAAAAAAAGTACTTTCAAATATAATTTTTTTCAAATTTTTTGACTACCCCTGTTAAACAAATATGGTTATAATTACATATATATGAAACAGCATCAGTTGCTATTGTCTAGATAAAAATTTTTGAAAGCATAACACTGAAGCAGGAAGGTTTCACTATGATGTATCAATAGGAAAAATCGGATGTTATCATTCAGTTAGGCGCTAAGATAAACAGAAACAAAATCTAATTCGTTAGTTTGAATTTGAATCCTTTTTAGCCTTCGTCCAATTTTTCAATCTATTGTATGATTCCTTAGATTATTTTTCGTTACCGTCAAAAGCAGATATTCTATGTTGATAGGATATCAAATTATCAAAGACGATGATGCTGCCTAAGACAAACCTTTAAAAAATCTATTCTATACTATTGAGTTTGGATGCTTACCTAGACGTAAACAGCTGTACTTCGACGAATAAGATGGTTTACATGGTGTAGCATGACGATTGTATATCTCTGTGTTATATACAAAGAAAAACGATGATTTACATAGGGAAAACGTTTGCTTAGCGTCTTCTTACACAAGAATAGCGTACGGCGGAAATTTTGTCTTATATTTTTCCAATACGATTTTCGTTCTAAATATTTATGTTACAATCATTATTTCATTCAATGACAGCCAACAGAGCAAATAAAATAGATCTAGACCATTTTCAAATAAGAAAATCTAATAAAGTCACTCATTTCTCTGGATTCAGCCATGTTCTTAGAAGAAAAGACAGCGTCATTAGAAAGCGAGAAAACTGACAAATTTTGTGGAGTAAGGGTGTGTCACTGTCACACACAGATCTCTGTTTCATACGAATCCTACAATATACTTCAGTTCTGTGAGTGTCTTTAGATCGTGTTTCACCAACTATTGGTTGCAGATGCCCTACAGAACGTGACAAAAGTTGTACCGATACTCGATTATTTCTTCCTGTTGAAACAGATAGATGGGTTATCATACAAAGTTTCATAATGGATAGCTATTTTATTTAATAAAACGCTTATATGTATCATTATTTTTCAAATTGTAGGATGGTAGCATTGCGTTTTTGTATTTGTTCAGTAAACGAATTAAGTGAATACTCAAATTGGAATTGACAAACAGGTCCAAACAAAGGTAATGTACAATTATAGAAGTGTTGCAATGAAGTAGTATTTTTAATATTCATCAAATACATTTGATAACGTTCAATGATATCAATAGAAGTTGATCATTGAAATAATTGATTAACACTTATATTATTAATTTTTTTAATAACTGAAATTAATTGATGATAAATTGTTGACAATTTCATGTTCTTTTGTATTCTATCATATTGATTCGTATACAAAAAATTAATAAGATGGTATTAAATCATGTTAGAATTTTGAGTTTTTCGTTGTCACGTATATATTGATAAAGAAAATATTAATCTTCATCTTCTATTGGATCTGTGTTGTACATACTTATCGAATATGATGTTTGACATATTATTATTAATAGCAAAAATAAGTGATTCAAGAACATAAGTATTAACATATTTCTTGAAAACAAGAGAATACTAAAACTGAAATGGAAATATTCTAGATTATTATAGTTCATGACTTTCTAGAGATCAAATAACGTTTAGTTGAAAATATTTGTTTCGTTCATTACATTTAAAACGTGTTAATGTTAAACATATTTTATTTGATAAAATGTTCATTGTTAATGAAATCATGCTTAGATATTTGACAAACAAATGATTTATTAAAATTTTGTCTCTGTGCTTGTTTATAGTCCGATGAAATAGAATAATATCAGCAGAAGGTTGATATTGATGATAATGGTCAACAGTTTTAACATATGAAATTTTATTCAGTTAGAAATAAAAAAAAAGAAAAACATATTCTATTTGGCGATATTGAACATTGTCTATTCGTTTATTTTACTCAACAATTGCCATCGGGATTCGAAATGTCCGAAGTGAAAAATTATGCAAGGTTTATATGCTTAATACATTTTGCTTAAAGATATTATGTAGACCAGAGTACATGAAAGTGTTCTATTGTTCATATATAGTTCGAAAAATGTTGTTTGTTACATTTGGGCTTCATTTCATTGTTAATCTAGAGATGGCTTCTTCAATAAATGTTTTATCGAGACTTCTACGAAACTGCTCTACATGGTATATTATATTTTACTAGTTCATGTTAGAAATAAAACAAAATCATGCTCGTAAGAAAGGTCAACATGGCAATTAAAGAAAACATTTCGAATGTCTCATTTTTTACAGCGCTAATTACGGAATTATTAGAGAAGCCACGAATGTTTTTTTTTTTTACACGAGTGAATGTACAAATGAATTATTTTTTCTACGATATAAGAACAAAAAAAAATTTAATCTATAAAATAGCTTAGATGTCGGTGGTAGAGTATAGACACTCCTGAAAACCTTTTGCTTTAACAAACATACTAATGAATAAACAGTCGTTCGTTGTAGCTGCTAAGCACATCGCTTTTCTTCCACTAGTAGGAATAAAAATAAGCAGAGAACGAAAGAAGAAAAGCTTTTATTATTAGCAATATGAACAGGACATGAAAAATTATCCAGATTTATCTAGTTTCTTTTTTCTGTTCTATGTTTATTAAAATGAACATTTATAGAGGTCAAATTCTGAATATAGTTGTGCCTTTCTACAAATATAAACTTTGTTTTTTTTGTGTAATACAGTAAGTTATATTGAAATTGAGATGATTTTGTATTATAGAAGCTTTATGAAAAGAAATGATCGAAACAATAATATTTGAATCAATATTTGTTAAATATAGTTTCTCTTAACTATTAATATACATATAAGATTGTTTAGATTAAACGAAAACATTATTGTAAATACATAGGATTTACTAATAAAAATTCTATTATAATGATTGTAAATATGAAAGATTGATTTTAATTCTCTCTTGATAAGCTTTATTGAGATAATAGTTTAATATTGTCATTCAAAAATTCTTCTTAAATGTTTAAAATGAGAGTAAAACCAACAGCTTATTTTTACTATGCAATACTTGATCATCAGTATATGAATTGCATATCTTCTTAAATTCTGTCTAACAATATACAGTAACAAAGATGAGTAACTTCAACTCCAGGTTAGAATTCTATTAAACTTCTATTCACTTGGCAATAAAATAAGACTGCGTAGAACCTAAATTTTTACGGTCACAGTTATAGTAGGACTTTCAAAAAAAGCCTACAATTAAATTTGGATTGAAATATAGAAAATATAGATGCAGTCGAAGCGATGATTTAAGAAATACACATGATAGCTGAAGTATCATATTGACAAAATCGTCTATCTCTGTCTGTATAGCCATTTTGTTTAAGAATCAAACGTAATTTATAATCACTTGTGCTTTTCTTGTTGAAATAATTTTCTTGAATGGATTCTGGAAGAATGAACGAATTAGGTTGAAGGTGAACCTCGAGGTTCATCAAGATTATTTTTCAGATCAAAAGAATTAAAAACTACCTTGAGCTCTTTTAGAATATTTAATATTCGTTGAGCATAAAGGTTCATTTGGTATGTTCATTTAACTGTTAATAAAATAGAACAATAGTTGTTTTATTGCTGTAGTAAGAATGCGAGGGCATGTATTCTAAAGAAAAGAGTGATATTAGTTCGATTAATATACAGCTAATGAATAAACACAGCAAATATTTTAGTCATTAAAATATAATTTTTCCAAAACAAAAACAACTAAATTCGATGCCAATTTTGCTTTGTTATTCGATATTTTGATTATTTTAAACAACATATCAATGTTATTATCTCAACTGGTATCATAATTTTGAGAATACAATTTAAACCAAAAAGATTTTATCAAACTATCAAAATACAATTTTTCATTTTCTTTCGATA